TGTCAAATAAATAAATAAAATCTTAAAAAAAAAATAAAATAAAATAAAAAATAAAAAAAATAATAATAAAAAAAAAGGACCACTCTGCTGCTGGCTTGAGAAAAAAAACTGTAGGGAGGAAAGGGTAGAAGCAAGGAGACCAAGAATATTGGTAACCCAAGTGAGAAAGGAAGGTGCCTGGGGCCTGGGCGGTGGCAGCAGAAGTGGGGAGAGGCAGCTGGAATTTACATGTATTTTCAAGGTGCAGTCAACAGGATTTGCTGATGGAGCTGACAGAGGCATAAGAGAAACAGAGGAATAAAGGATGACTCCAAGATTTTCTGGCCACAGCAACTGGAAAGATGGAGTTGCCATATACTGATAGAAGTGAAATTGTGGGAGATAAATGTTTTGGAGGAAAGATCAGTATTTTAATTTTAGTGATACTAGGTTTATGTGTCTATTGGACATCTAAGCAGAGAACAGGCCCTCTGACCCCAACCATCATCCCAGTAAGACCAAATTCCCAATATTTAAGAAAAGCAGTTGGGGGTCAGGGGGGAGGAAGTTTATCAATTGATTAGCCTTCAGTAGAGAGGATTTTCCCTTACCTACCGTGATAGCCAGACTCTAAATGGCTCCCACTGACCCCTGTCACCTGCTCGTGGATAGTCCCCTCCCACAGGGTATCAGTTTTGGTCCATAGGACCAATAGAATAAGGAAGATGTGGTGGTATATCATCTCTAAGGCTAGGTCATAAAAAACATTGTGGTTTCCATCTTGGATCACTTATTATAGGCAAAGCAAGCTACCATGTTGTAAGGAGCCCCATGAAAGGTCCATGGGACAAAGAACTGAGTCTTCCTGCAAATATCCATGTGAGTGAGTTTGGAAGTGGATCTTCCAGCCCCAACCAAGCCTTCAGATGACTTCAGCCCCAGCCAACATCTTGACGTCTGTTTGTGAGAAACTCTGAGCCAGCTAAACTGCTTCCTAATTCCTGACCCACAGAAACTATGACCTAATAAAGGCTTACTATTTTAAGCCACTAAGTTCTAGGGGTAATTTGTTATGCAGCAATAGGTAACTGATATACCTCTCAAAGTCAAGCGAAGGAGGTGCTCTAAGAAAATTTGGAGGGTCCTGCAAGAAGAGAGACTGGCATCTTATTCCACAATCAAACCTCTGCTCAGGCAGTACACTTACTGTTCTGCCCTAGGCAGTCTATACTGCAACCATTGGGAGGACTCTATCAGGAGGGGCTGCCTGACAGGCAAAGTGTCCCCCAATAGCAAGAAGCTGGATTAAGTAAAGACAAATTACCCTTCTTCCCCTCTTGCCCTACCAGGCCCCAATACTAGAGAAGTTTGACCCTGAAAAGGAAGAGGGGAAGTATCCTAGAACCAATACATGACTCCCTTTGCTGGACACTAGACACATCCACACACACACACACACACACACACACGCACACACGCACATGCACACGCACACAAACACCTCCCCACCCTGAAACTGGCTGCAGTGATTGGAGCACTGAAGGCTGACCAAGGCCCTTCCCCCCCTCCAAGTCCCCAGAGCAGAAACTGGATCCCAAGCCTGGATGATAGGAAGGGGGTGTAAGTGATGTAAACCAGAAACGAGATAGGAGTTCTTAATAAACCTGAGTGGACTTCTAATACTAAAAGTCGCACTAAAGCTCTGGGATCATCTAGGATCTCAAGAAGGAAGGGTAAAGGGAAATTTGATAGAAATTGGTTACAAGATTGTCATGTTAAGGCCCCACTGAGTGGAGATTCCTCAATCAACCGATTACAATTCTGTTCCTCTAACCCAAGTCCTTAGAGGGGCAGCACAATGCATGGGTTAAGAAGGTTTGGAGTCAAGACAGGTTTGAACAGTATTGAAATCCATTTTTGTGTGATCCTGAACAGGTTTCTTAAGCTTCCAAATCTCTCTTTTCTGATCTGTACAGAAGAATAATGGTACCCCCCTCTCACAGGGCTATGGTAAAGCTAAGAAAGAAAGACTGCAGGGTGCCTGGGTGGCTTAGTGGTTAAGCGACTGCCTTTGGCTCAGGTCATGATCCTGGAGTCCCAGGACCGAGTCCCACATCAGGCTCCCTGTTCAGCGGGGAGTCTGCTTCTCCCTCTGACCCTCCCCCTCTCATGCTCTCTCTCTCACTCTCTCTCTCTCTCAAATAAATAAATAAAATCTTTAAAAAAAGAAAGACTGCAGTCAACAGGGAGAGAAGACATAGCCCCAGAGAGCTCGAGGCCTCTGATCTCCAGTTAGGGACCCTCTCCCCATATAAAAGCCCACACCAGACTCCTGATTGGCCCTTCTTGGTGTCCTGTCCACCCTCGGTCAATTGACAGGGCCTGAGATACTTTTGTCCAGGCCTGGTCCGTTGTCCGTCTCCACTAGAACCCATGGGAAAGAAGGTAGGACAGGTCTCCAGAGAATAGGGAGGTACTGTTCCCTGAAGAAGGGGACAGGAAGCTGGACAACTCAGAGCAACAGTTGCCCACTACAACTGATCTTGTTGATTTCACCTTTACCTTCCTCTCTTGGTTGCCTAGGAAAATTAATACATCAGAGAATTTAAATAAGGACAGAACCTCATTATCTGACCTAATCCCCTCATGTTGGAGATAAAGGCCCCAAGGCCCAGTGTGGGATGAGCCAGTTGTTAAAGGCTCCACAGGTTATTTGGTGCCTCGGCAATTGTTTTGGACAAACCTGCAGAAATCCGGACACTCGGGAATGAAAATCTCAAAGGCTGTCTCCCACTCTGGCAGACAATAAGATTCAGTAATCAGGCACTTGCCTCACTGATCTGCCTGGGGAGATTTATTGCCTCATGTGGATTATGCCAAGCACTGTGGTTGTGGGTGTCATTCACACAGAGAACATTCTAACTCCCACCAGCCCTCCTAAGGCTCCTCCAAAGAGAATTCCAGGGTGCCTGGGTGGCTCAGTCATTAAGCGTCTGCCTTCGGCTCAG